GTAATCTTTATTTTATTAAATATAAATATTAAGCAATTATAATTTTTCATTTTTTTCAAATAGATAAAAAAATGTGAGCAGCTATCATGTACGATTTATAAATCTATTCAGCTTCTACATAATATCTTTGATTCACTTAATTGGCTACCAGATCCTATTTCTTTTATAGGTATATTTTTATTATAATATTTGTAATATATAACATTGAAATTTGGATTAATAAGTAAATTTTTTAACTATAGTGGATAAAGATCATTATGCTAAATTTCAAATAGCATATCAGTCAAAAACAACAGAGTAGCATCGTCCAATACTTATATTAACAATTGCAAGTAGTGAATAGATACAATCATCCATTTTAGTAAATACCTGTGTTTGTGAATTTATTCAATGTTTTCAATGCAAGAAAATACGTTGTCTATATAGTGAACGTGCATTATTGGCAGAAGATAAAATAGCATGCCAGATTGCTATAGATAAATAGAATTATAGTTGTAGATCACTATTGGTACCAGAAAGACACAATCTATATAATAAAATTTTTATGTGAGAAAAGATTAGTTGTGAAATACCAATAGAATTGTCATATTATTCATGCTAAAAGTCCAATATTAATCATAATATTTGTTATTGGTATGGATATAATAATGAATTGGTAGAACCTCCAGAAAATCTTAAATCAAAATACAAATCCTTATTCCCATGCTGTTTATTGTATCAAAATGCAGGAAAGGACATTTTTGCATGAAATGAAATTAAAATTAATATAAGAGTTGCAAAGAAATATAAGATTGACAATTAAATAATGAATAAAGTTAGTCATTTTAATCCTTCAAAGTTTTATTTATTAAAATATATAAATTGAGGTTGATATTAGAGACTCAGTAAATACAGCAAATCTATAACTAAAAATAAAATATGAAATGTTTCTAAACTTCTTCACAAATATAAGTAACGGGAAAACTCATGTCAAAATTCCAAAAGCTTTCTATAATATAAACCTTAAATATTTGAAGTTATAGAATCCATTTCCTATAAAATAAAAAAATAAACGTTAATTTCATTTTTTGAAAGAAATTCCCAAAGCTTCTTTATAATATAAACCTTGAATATTTGAAGTTATAGGATCTGTTTCCTACAAAATAAAAAAAAAAATGTTTATAATTTTATTTTTTAAAAGAAATTCTAAAGTTCACATACTAACCTTTAATGTTTGAAATTACAGGACCCATTTCCTATAAAATAAAAAGAAACATTACTTCCGTTTCTTGAAAGAAATTCTCAAAGGTCTCTCATAATATAAACCTTGAATATTTAAGTCATAGGATCCATTTTCTACAAAATAAAAAAGAAAGAAACGTTTATAATTTTATTTCTTAAAAGAAATTTCCAAAACTTCTCATAGTACGTCCAGTTTATAATGGCTTAGTCCTGATTTCAGATCTAATTAATCACGTGATTTATTATGTATTTATATGTTGTTTAAATATGTCTTTCTGAAACAATCCTACCTTGTTATTTTAAACAATATATTGTATTAGTGCAGTCTAACTTTGCAAAACACGTCCTTTTCATTTTTGTCAGAAAATTTCACTTTTAAGATTTTTTTTGATTGATTCTCTGGGTGTTTGGTAAACACAACACCCGAAAATGAGTCAAACTAATTAAAAACAAGGACAGTAATATTAGAGATTTGGTTTGAAAGGACTTTTCAGAATAGTCGTCAGCCAGGAAAAATGTGAAAAAAATCATTTTTTTGGTATAAATTTCTTGAGAGCTTTTCTTGTTGTTTAAAAAATTTTCAGAAGCATTGTTAGCATTATCTACATTTATATGTATTTAGTTAGGAGTAAAGATGGCACCTCAATTAGTTGCAACAGGTGACAAATAAGTATCACAATGTTGCAACGAATTGTAACGTTATTAAAATTTAAGTTGCAACAGGTGATAAATAAGTGTTACAATGTTGCAACACTATCTTTAGTTAGGAGTGATAACTGGAGTTATTTCATTTGTTGAAACTTCTTTGTCCTTTTCTTTATCGAGTGAGAGATGGTTGACGTCTATAATAACTAGAGTTTCATTATTATTATTATTAGTAAAGATACTACTTTTAGGTTCAGTAGTTTGTAAAGTATTCTATCTTTTACTTAATTGTTTTAGGGCGAGAGCGAGATTATTGTTTTTATTAATTTTTATTATTCTCTTTCTTTAGTCTACCCATATTGCAAAAAGAGTTTTTATCATTTAAAAAAATAATATTGTTAAGACTATTAATGTAGAAATCTAATAAATAATTTATTGATAAAGAATGTGTTACATTTAGAGTTTATTTCATGCATTTCCTTTTAAGATTAAAGAATATCGATTTAATTCTGAAAATAATTCTTTTAACACAATCTCAATTTGAAAAATTGATGAATAAGCTAATGAAATAATAGTGTTACAAGAGAATATGTAGATTGTAAATAAATTGCAAGCCGATGCATCTCATTATTATACATAAGCAATGCAAATAAATTATTTACATATATATGATTTGCTTCTTTCAAAGGCTAAGCCATCATCACTTTAAACAATTTACTGAATGCTAATGGATGATATCTCTGCAGCTGAAACTGAAAATGAAGCAAAAGTTGATAAACATGTTAGACTCACTTTGGAACTTGAAGATCTAAATATTACTATTGATTTACATGAATACAGTAATGAAAAACTAAATAAATATGATATCTTCTAAAGAATTGCAGATCAATTTCTTACAGGAAAAGCAGCAGATATTGTAATTGCTGTAGACGAATGCAAACATAATACAATCGTGCATCTTATGACTACAATCTCAGTAAATGATTTTCTGCATCAAGTTACAGTCCGCAACATAAATATCCGGAATTTATCGCGACAAATAAAAAAATTGTAAATCTTATTTTATTCGTTTCATATTTATACTATT